ACCCAATTTTCTTTTTCGCTACCAGGCAATTCCAAGGACACACGGACGGGGCCAGCTGTATAGACATCTCGCCAGATGGCACAAAGTTGTGGACTGGTGGCCTGGATAACACAGTGCGATCATGGGACCTACGAGAGGTACTTACGAGTTGTCACGATTGGGCAGTAACACCAAAGATGCTATTATTATTATTATTATTAATATTATTATCATTATTATTATTAGTAAGGATGTTTTGCTTATTGCAGCAGCTATTTCGTTACATATTTATATACGTCATTATTGCATAAGCTATTTATTTTCATATTTACACGTATTTTAACTTTCACTGTATCTATCGTGATGCAGTTAGTCTTCGAACATAAACTTTTTTCTCATGAACGATAGTCAACGACCGTGTGCGCAGTGATAGATTTGTTGTTGTTGTTGTTGTTGTTTACAATCTGGGCTTGTCGTTAATTACCACGCCACGTGCGCGGTTGATAAATTTGTTGTTGTTGTTATTTACAATCTTGATGTGTTGTTTTGTTTGTAGGGTCGGCAGCTGCAGCAGCACGACTTCACGTCTCAGATCTTCTCGCTCGGCTACTGCCCCACGGGCGAATGGTTGGCCGTCGGGTGGGTACCTCGTCCACGCTCTGGTCACGCGGCAATGTGCTTTACAGGGGTGTCGCGGTTTGCCCAATTTACCGTAGCAGACGACTGTAGCCGAGAGTAAATCGCTGATCTCTCTCTCTCATGCACGCACGTATTTCGCAGCAGTGCTTTACATGGGGGTTGCGTTTTGCCCAATTTACCGTAGCAGACCAGTGTAGCAGAAAGTAAATCGCTTATCTCTCTCTCATTTATGCATGTATCACATGGCAATGCTTACTGCAATCACTGCCCTTCCCGCACAAAAATCGATTCCCGAATTTTGCGACGTCTTCGAGCCTGCCATTCGAAACACCAGCTGAAGACGTACCTCGAGGCAAACATTGCTTTCTGTAACTAACCCACGCGAGCCGTAGCAGTACGTTCTCACTAACGCGCGCGTCCTCTGCGCGTCTTCAAGCCTGCCATGTGATACACCAGCCGAAGACGTACCTCTAAGCAAACGTCGCTCTATAACTACATACGTTCTCAGTCCTCGAAGCAAACATAGCTCTCGCAAAAAGTCTCTCTTAAGTCTCTCTCAAGCAAACAAGCTCTACATACGTTCTCGCTAACTCGCTCCCCTGTCTTCTATCTCGCAGCATGGAGAGTAGCAACGTGGAGGTGCTGCACCACACGAAGCCGGACAAGTACCAGCTGCACCTGCACGAGTCGTGCGTGCTCTCGCTCAAGTTCGCCTACTGCGGCAAGTGGTTCGTCTCGACGGGCAAGGACAACCTGTTGAACGCCTGGAGGACTCCCTATGGTGCTAGCATTTTCCAGGTGAGACAGAGATCGATCTCCTCGAGTCTGAGGAGGGCTGCATCGTCGGCGCTGCGTTATAGCGTCGATGCAACGTTAGCAGAACGCAGAGAACGTACTCGACAGTGTTGTAGGTCACCTTTGAAGAACGTTCACCTGTGTACAAAGGACACTCGGTATTTCCATTGTTAGCGTCGCTGCGTTCGTACTCGACGGTGGTAGAGGTCACCTTTGAAGAACGTTCACCTGTGTACGAAGGACACTGTATTTCCGTTGTTAGCGTCGCTGCGTTCGTACTCAACAGTGTTGTAGGTCACCTCTGGAAAACATTCACCTGTGTACAAAGGACGCTCGGTATTTCCATTGTTAGCGTCACAGCGTTCGTACTCGACAGTGTTGTAGGTCACCTCTGGAAAACATTCACCTGTGTACAAAGGACGCTCGGTATTTCCATTGTTAGCGTCGCTGCGTTCGTACTCAACTGTTTTAGGAGGTCACCGTTGGAGAACATTCACCTGTGTGCAAAGGACGCTCAGTATTTCCGTTGTTGAGCGACCCTCGTGTACAGGTTTAACTGCGCTTGAGTCGGGTATTGTCAGGCTAGCAGGCAGAAAAGGGTGATGTTCTTGTGTTGAAATAGAACCCGATCGAATTGTGCTCGCTCGATTCGGGTATTTGTCGGGATAGCAGGCAGAAAATGGCGATGTTCTTGTGTTGAAATAGAAACCCAATCGAATTGCGCTCGTGTCGAGTGCACGACGTGGCAGTTCTCGCTCGAGTGTGGTATTTTATTTCAGTCGTAGTAGTACCCGCTGAAAATTATAGTCGACGTTGAATTTGCCGCACGCGCACGCCGGTGTATTTTCTATCGGTGTCGGAGTTCAGTGCAGCGCCCTCTGTTGTAAGTCATGAGCAGTGATGTGATGTAATACTCACAATGAACTGTGTAGTAAATAATAATATAAATGCCAATAAATGACGTAAATAATAATGATGAAAATTACAATAAACGTGCAGTAAACAATGATATAAATGCTAAAAGAATAAACGTAAATAATGGTGAGAACAAAAATTCCAACAATAAAGGTGTAGTAAATAATAACAAAAATGCAAATATGAAAACGTGAATAATAATAATAATAATAATAATAATAATAATAATAAATTCTAATAATAAACCTGCGGGACTGATGAATGATAATTATAACTTCGACGCATTAATTTTAATTGTAACTTAAATTTAATTAAGATTAATAATTAATTTTGCAGTCAAAAGAGTCGTCGTCCGTGCTGAGCTGCGACATCTCCGCCGACGACAAGTACATCGTCACCGGCTCCGGCGACAAGAAGGCGACAGTCTACGAGGTCATCTACTGAGGTCGCCGCGCAAGCGAGCGAGCGAGTCCCGCCGCCGACGACGACGACGACCGGTCGCGCTTTTACCCGGCCGCCGTCCAGAACTGTCCACCGGACGGCTCTCACGGCGAAGGACGACGATCGGCGAAGACGATCGAGCGGCCGGCGGATGATCGAGCGTTAACTTTAGTCGCCGCGGAGATCTAGCTCCACGTTTTGTCGCCGCAGCGCTGATCCCTTGCCCTCGCGGACATTTGAGATGAGGGCGGTCGGACGATGGAAAATCAAACATTAACTTTGGCCGTGGCGGACGGTCAAGCATTAACTTTAGCCGCGGCGGACGGTCAAGCGTTAACTTTAGCCGCGGCGGACGGTCAAGCGTTACCTTTGGCCGCGGCGGAGATCGACTCTCGGTCTCTCGTCGGGCTTGGACCCCTCGCACTCGTGGACATTTGCGACGAGGGGTGGTCCGTCGTCGGATGCGTGAGCGTTGGACCGTCGAGAGAGAGAGAGAGAGAGAGAGAGAGACGGACGGAGAGACGGACGGAGAGACGTCGCCGGATGTGAGGAGACGGCGCGTCGGAGATATGTGCGTTTAGTGGGGGAAGGAATGGAAGGAGAAGAAGAAGAAGAAGAAGAAGAAGCCAGAGCTGTAAGATGTGTCGGGATGGAAGTGTAAAAAGAAGAAGAAGCCTAAGCTGAGGATGTGTCGGGATGGAAGAGAAGGAAGAAGAAGAAGAAGCCAGAGCTGTAGGACAGCGTCGTGACCGGGCACCTAGTCGGTGGCGTGCTGCGGCCGCGCGGTAGAGAGCCGAAAGACGCACGAGTTCTGGCCGAAGATAGTTACTGTTTCCGTGTTTATGTGTGAAATTCGGCGAGGATGCCTTGTGGTTATTTTTGTCGGTTTCTTCGGCGAGCGACGGGACTGGCAACGACTGTTTTGGTGAGGCGAGAGGAGAGTGAAGCCATTTACATCACTAGCGTGCACGATTTCTTTCTGTCTCTCTCTCTCCTTCTTTCTTTCTCTTTCTCGCTCTCCCTCCATCTCTCTCTCTCCCATCTGAAACGCCCTATCAGCTGAGTAGCGTTTAGGGTGCAGAGAGAATGGAGACCCCGGAGGCGGGGGGGGGGGTCTCTGATCTTGTCCCGCGTCTAGTTTCTTACTGGGTTGTAAGCGATTGCGGTGACTGTTACTGGAGACGCACCGGGACGAAGAAATAACAGCGCAATCCGCAGTGCACAGGGGAGGGATGGCGTCTCTCTCATCGCGGTGCGCTCTCTCTCCGTCGGATGTTGCACCACTTCCTTCCTCTCCTCGTCGCTTTTGTCGCTCGTTAAGAAGAAGCCAGGGCAAAACGCAAACTCCCGAGGGGGAAAACAACGTTTGCGTGCAACGCCCCCTGCCGGGCACTTCTTGCGACGGATGTAAGTAATCGGGTCTGGCGCATCCCCGACCAACCATCTGCTTTAGAGTCGATCTCCGAGATGGTGTTTTTGTAAAGCCGCATCAGAAGGGGGCGGCGGAGACCGTAAGAAGTAGACAACCCGTCGCGAACATTTTTCAGACATTCCATTGTGATCATTCACAGCACAGTTTTTCGCGCGCAGCGACGATGCCGCCGCTCCTGCCGGCGGTCATCGAGATGTGAGACACCACGCGCGCACGCTCGCCATGAGAACGGCGGCCATGACGGCCATCGCCACAACGACGGCAGCCATGACGGCGATCGCCATGACGACAGCGGCCATGACGGCCATCGCCACGACGACGGCGGCCATGACGGCCATCGCCACGACGACAGCGCCGTCATGGCCGCCGTCGTCGTGGCGATGGGCGTCATGGCAGCCGTCATCGTGGCGATTCATCGCCATGACGGTGATTGCCACGCTGGCGGTGGCCATGACGGCGATTGCCACAATGGCGACGGACCCGCCGCGCACGTTTGTCAGCCGACTGACTCGCGAGCGACGTGTAGACGTCGCTTGTCGTCTCTCCGCGCTCGTAACTGGTTCCCCGCGTGACGAGGCGGCGAGCCGTCGTCGCCCTTCGGTTTGTTTCTCTCTCCAGTTTACACACACAGGACCAGCGTTTGTAAGTCACGTTTTGGAGAAGCATCTGTACATAAGTCATTTTTCGTGGTAGCCTCGTAATAAGAAGTGTTAACACACAGATTTTTATTTTGTTTAATATTGCAGTACACCGTGTATTGTAGTCGGCACTGGACCACAGTGCAAACTTACCCTGCACACGTAACATGCTGTCGCCGCAAGCTGTCGCTTGTTTGTAGAGGTCGCACTAGTGTCGGGGGCACGATATAGCATTCAGGGATGAAAATAGCTAGGGTTCGCGTTGCAGTCGGTGACCATAAACTTAACGTGGTTGGCTACTCGCGAGTGCAAAACCTTGGCGAATCGGACGTTCCTCGTTGAACACAGCCCGCATTGTATTGGTCAAAGTATATCGGTTCCACAGCATGTGTAGATTAAGGCTATGTCATTCCTTCACCTATTATAGAGGAATGATGGCGAGTGAGCGAACTGTTTATTCGGTTGTAAAGTACTCGCAGTCGGCGGTCAAGCCTACAGTCATGCGCTCGCAACTATTCGACACAAATTTTGAATTTGATTCAAGTTATTTTTTTGAAGGAAACGTCTCCCGATTACTAAAACCATGTGGTGCAAGGGTACTATGTCCTCTTGCCGATTTGTCATTGACGTGTTGACCAGTGTATTCCTTGCCTGTTCCTTTGTTTCATGATCCAGATCAGATTGCATTGCTTCAGTCACATCAGAGCACACATAGATAGCTAGATATTGTTTGTTTTTTTGTTTTTTTTGAAGCATAATACAATAAAATTTGTTGTGAAAGACTATTGTAAAATACATGTATTGTTTCATCAGTGTATTTAAAATAAATTTACATGTTTTGTATAGTGTAAGAATCAAATGTCTGTTGATTTTCATGCATTATGCTCGGGTATTTGGGTGTTCAGCAGATTCCTACTGGCGACGATTGGCTTACTTACATTGGTCGATAACGCTTCAAACAAGATGAAAGCTAAGCTGCTAAACAAATCTGTTAAGGTAATATATTTTTAAATCACAAATTTTGCAGTAACAGTACTATCACAGCATCTGGATTGTATCCGTATCAGCTGGAAAGGTTTCCTCATTCGCAGCATTCGTAACAAGCGGCAGTGCAGCTCTAAACGTGTGCTAACCATGTGCAGTGAGCAGTCTTGAAAATAAGTTTAACATCCACCCAGTCCTGACTTGCAAAACTTTGATTCATTCTATATAGGCTATGTAGTAAAATCCATAAAAATGAGCTAGCAGTCACGGACTGGGGGATGGAGCCTGCTATATCCAACACTGGCGTTGGCTTGAACGCTGTCAGTAAAACAAGCTACACTACACTACTCTACACTGCTCTTTAAATGCATCTCATTTTAAAAGTATTTCAATCCATGTAACAACCATCTCTCAACAATCATGTTAACAATAACAACACAACTACGTAAAAATATAGATAAAACAAACGAGTTAGTCCCATCAGTGACCACATGATTGTGACAACGCGATTTCGCGCACAACGCATCGTTGCAGCAGCCATTTTAAGTATCGAATAAGCAATTCTGCATTGGTTACGATAATCGGCAGGAATGGCCGAATTACCCCATCCAGCCTGGTCGGTCAATAAAGAGAGGTAGAGTCCCTGCACTCAGCGACTCTACAGAGCAATATGATAAAGTTACGTGATATGAGTACGGCGTGCGCGTAATCTATTCGTAGATATATTTGTCTGTACACATTCTTATCAGCACTAGTGAATGGATATAAGGATTCACGTGCGAGCCATGCAGATCTGGCTCGCAGGTTCTGGTCCGAGTAAACGGCCAGTCATCGTCGCAACGTGCCGATAATCGCATTCACTTTCACGTTAGGATCCAGCGCAACCCACCGCTAAGGGCCATCGACTGAAAGACTTCGGCCTGAATCCCTCTCTCTCTATCTATCTCTATCAATGGTTTGGCTATTGCCACGCTCGGCACATAATATCGGTTCCTTGGCAATCGAAAAAGGCACAACTGATTCGGGGGACGAGGAATTAGCATGTGCGCCCGCCCGTCTCCCAGCATGCGAAGAGGACTCGTACAAATCACAATAACAAGGTCGAGCTCTGCAACAGAGGGGGCCCTACGACCAAGTCGCTTCATAGAAAACCACTAACGAACACGGTAAACAAATTCCCCCCTACGTCGGATTACGGAAGAAAAAAACTTGTTTCTTTCTGACATCGTTCCGGCAGCGGGCGGACTTCGTTCCGGGAGCGAGCGGACGTCGTTCCGGAAAGCGGGCGGGCGTCGTTCCGGGAGCGAGCGGTCATCGTTCCGGGAGCGGGCAGACTTCGTTCCGGGAGCGAGCGGACGTCGTTCCGAGAGCGAGCGGGCGTCGTTCCGGGAGCGAGCGGACGTCGTTCCGGGAGCGAGCGGTCGTCGTTCCGGGAGCGAGCGGCATCGTTCCGGAGCGAGCGGACGTCGTTCCGGGAGCGAGCGGTCGTCGTTCCGGGAGCGAGCGGTGTCGTTCCGGGAGCGGGCGGACTTCGTTCCGGGAGCGAGCGGACGTCAGTCCGGGAGCGAGCGGACGTCGTTCCGGGAGCGAGCGGTCGTCGTCCGGGAGCGAGCGGGTGTCGTTCCGGGAGCGAGCGGTCGTCGTTCCGGGAGCGAGCGGACGTCAGTCCGGGAGCGAGCGGACGTCGTTCCGGGAGCGAGCGGGTGTCAGTCCGGGAGCGAGCCGGACTATTCGGCCTTGGCACGTTGCTCGCCTTGCGTCAGTAACATGGAGATGCTAAGAACGCCTCCGATCACTCCGGGGCAAGATGGCGCCTGAATGAGAATCGGGAGTCGCGTTATCAGCGGGCAGGACGTTTCAAGGTCGTCGAGCCGGTCAGGCTAATACGACGTACAAACCTTACACGTCATTTTAGATTCTTATACGTCGTCGTGCACGCACAGAAAGCTAGCGTACGTAAGCTTGTCCATACTCGTACTCACCAGGATGTAGATGTCGCTGAGCATGAGTCCGTACGTCGTCCACAGCATGGCCGTGATGAGACCCATCGCGGTGAACAGCATGTCGGCATTGAGCCGCAACCCCGACCTCCACGCCTGCACCTGTACGCACGCGCGCGCCGGACGAGCGAAGACGCCGGAGTCAGGAAACAATGCGTTCGCGTTTTGGGAAAATTTCCATTCGCGATCCGTGTCGTACGCAAACGAAAATAAAAATGCGCGTTTCGTCTGTAGAGTTTCTTCGATTTTAAACAGAGGCAATTTTACACGCGACACGAGCGTTGAACGAATTACTATAATCGATTTAATTCGATAAATCGATAAATTGAAATAATTAATATTATATCGATCATAACATATAGTAGGGACTTATGCAGAATGCACAGACCCACGTCTATCTATCTTTGGTTTTAGTTTCACACACAAGTACTCACTGCACCCATCAGAGGAATCATCTGCAAGACTGCTACCACAGAAGATCCTATAAGACCCACTATATTGGTTACTTGTGCCTGGTCATCTACGACTCCGTGTAGGTACGCATAGACAGTAACGGTGATGGCTCCAATCAGGAGGAAGCGGATCGCTGCTTCAAACTGAATGGGAAAAGACACGGAAACATCTCAAACAATCCGCCAAGCACAAACCTCGGTCATAATTCCCTGGAACCTTGCTTATTGGTTGTGTTCACACACACACACACACACAAATTAAAGATTAATCACACATTTGCCAAACAATGGCTAGTTGTGTGGTATATTGTAAAACATAAAATAATTATAAGAAAGGATGCTTTAGCAGTTTCTATTGGTTGGAGATGTATTTACGCAGATTTACTAGCGAACCTTCAACTAACAATATGTAGTAAGTTTTGCTCAAAAATACATCTGGATTGCGTACGACTTTTCAGATCTTCGAAAAAAAAAATTTCAGCAAAATAATTTTAATTTATAATATTAATTTACTTCAATAATTACTAGGTGAAGCTTGGACAGGGACTGGTTTCATATAGGTACTGACCTCATTGCGTCTTATTTCCATGAAGCAGAAAAGAGAAACATAGCCTATATGAAGAAAAACTCCGCAGAAGTTGAGCCAGAAGATGATGTTGTCACCTTGTCGGTATCCATAATCGGCCATAAAAAACGTGCTGAAAACGGAAGCTGATTATTAGAAGTGCACATGTTTCACACTGGATCACTCTACTCTAAAGGTCGATGAGCACGATCACCTTTGACATGATTTGGTTCGATTTCTACCAATTAGAACGCATCTTCCTCTAGTATGCAATGCTCTTACTTATTGACTTATTGTCGTAAATTTCTGCCATGAAAACGACGAGATATGCGTCTAACGTGCACGTGGTGCAATATGTCGTGTTGTAACAGTTCATGTAGTGAATATTTACTGGTACATATCCTACCTATAAATATCACATTCTGATGTGTGGAAATTGTGTTGAATTAGGTTGAAAGTTATTGTACCATGCAGTTTTAAAAATGGTACAATTATGATCAGACGTACTTTAAATGAACTAGATTAATTGTATCTATCCTGAGAAGAAATCTATTTTGTTTATCTCATTAAACTTACTTAACAACGGTCAAAAGAAATGTAATAATTGGAAATGTGGTGGTATCACTAGTGCTCCACATGTGCCTACACAGTGGACTGAAACACAAAAAATGAAAAGTAAGATATAAAACAATGTTTGATAATGCATATATATATACAGTGGCAGATCCAGAGAGACATGATATCTGATGATATAAGATTGCCCCCTCCACCGTTCAGCCACTGACTATAATGTTATTATACTAGTAAGATGGGGCCAAAAATAAAAAAGTCAGTCTGCAGGATGATAGAAACTGGGGATTTCCCCTGTGACCACACAGCTGCCTGAATTTTCCAGGTGGCAGGGGGCATGCCCCTGGACCACCCTAGCACCGCGTGCCCCCACGTCTCCCCCCCCCATCTCCTGAAAGCTAGATCTGCCCCTGATATATAAGTAAAAACACCCGGACACCCATGTAGATATAGAAAATATAGCTACCTGCGAAATCCTACCAACATGAATCAAATAAATACGAATGCAGTATTAAATACGGAATAATGAATAATGCTCTAGCCAATTATAAGCTCTTTATACTTACATGCCAGTAAGGAAGAAGCAAAGTGTTACTACCATTGCACTCCATCCTAGCATTTCTACTACCTCCATCCTGTCTGTGTTATCAAGACCACCTTACCTCACTGCTCTGCCAAAATTCTAAACAAAAAAAGAGTATTATAAACACTATATGTGTGTGTCTGTCCGCTCGATAACTTTTCAACCGTAAGAGGTAGAAACTTCAAACTTGGTCCACAGGTGCATCTTATGGGGCGGAAGAACTCTTCCGATTCTGAGTGACCTTGACCCAAGTTCAAGGTCACATGGTCATTAAGTATATTTCGAACACTGATCTCTATGGAGCTACACTTCGTCCGCAGGATATCGATTTCTTTCACTGCGCTGTAGAATAGCTAGCTAGGATCCGCACAATGTGTGAACTGGGGGATGATTATGTCTCACGCCACCTCGCCTTGACAAGTAGGCCCCTATTCATTTTGAGTGATATTTTACCAAGGTAAACGTCATCCATTAGAAGTAGCAACCTCAGCCTACAAAATATCACAGGTGTCGTGATCGCGTGTGTGGAGGATTCGCACTCCCCGAGTGCCTTCTAGTTATATATAGTCTGTGTATGCCATGATCGCGTTAGTAACGAAAGTACGGGTATACATGTACATAATATAAATGTACGGCTCAAGGGTCGTTGCCGTATCAGGTACTACAGATATGTACCCGAGGTACATATATATGTATACACAAAGTGTACCAGACTTGTACTACAGAAGTGTACCCTAACCCTAACACTAACCCTAACCCTAAATATAAAAATATAAACACTGACGAGGGCACTCACGGAAGTGCATACCTCCGCGAGCATGTACATGTATGTGTTACGAGTGGGCTGCTGACTCGCCGCTCGCTGGTGGCGGCTGCTGACTCGCCACTCGCTGGTGGCAGCTGCTGACTCGCCGCTCGCTGGTGGCGGCTGCTGACTCGCCACTCGCTGGTGGCAGCTGCTGACTCGCCGCTCGCTGGTGGCGGCTGCTGACTCGCCGCTCGCTGGTGGTTTCTGCTGACTCACTCGCCTGCTGCTGACTCGCCGCTCGCTGACTCGACGCGCTATCGATCGCGCCGCGCGGGCTGGACACACACACACACACACACACACACACACGACCGATTTAGCGCGATTACATTACCTCCCCTGCAACTCCGTTGCGCGGAGGTAATAATACTAAACAACCTAAAACTACCTCGGGTACATATCTGTAGTACCTGATACGACAACGACCCCATCTGCGTTAGTACGGCTCAAGGATAGTTTGGCACACCTCTTATTGAGTAAAAGAACGTGACAATCATGCCCCCACTCGGCCACCTCTCCAGCTGTGTCAGTGTGTGTAGGCTGATATGTACTTGAAATTCTAAAGTGACTAATTAACTCATTGAGTCATTCAAAAGCTGGTGGCTAAGGTTATCACGTTAGCTACACCAATTTAAAACTATACAGGAATTGCAACTAGTACTATTGCTGCTAGTACGGCAGATTCTTAATCTTTACAGATCCTCACATTAAATAGGACGATAATAACATACCAGTAAAACAGCAAGAGTTCAGACAGTTCTGAAGTCACTGGTGTTACAAATCAAGAACTCATGTGTTATGCCATGTGTATACAAAAAAACGCGATACTAGCGACACCTATATGCCACATCAGAAAATTTCCTGTATTTCGTGGCCATCAGAGTACGTATATCAATATTGATAATTTGATATATACGTCCTCTGGTAATAGTAATAAAACCCACTGACACATTATGTACGTTACTTATCTAACATTACGTGGTCACGTATATTGCACGACTTATTGCACGAACGAACGTATATATATAACACGACGTTGCACATCCAAGTTACGGTACCAATAACGGTATTATGAAAAAACAATGTCATAGAAATACAGTATATAGAGACAATATATTTAACAGCAGCCGAACTAGTATATTATACTTGATAATATTTCCATGGTGAACCTAGAGCGTCACTTGATTCATTAACTGTCCACACACACGCACACATGCGCGTGCGCACACGCGCGCACAGAACACACACTCACACACTCGCGCGCGTGGTCCACTGGGTAGTTGTCCGGATACGCTCGCGCGCGCGTTTATTTATTTATTTTCACGCATTTCATATGCACGCAAAGAAGACTGGACTCGCGACTTTGGACGGCACAGATATGTTATACTATATTACGTGCGTGTGTCTCAGTGTGTGCATGCGCGTGTACGTGAGTGTATGTGTGCGTGCGTGCTCGCGTGCGCGTGTCTTTTCAAAATAAAATCTAGCAAGCTCACTGCCGAGATAGATTTTTTGTAAAAATATAGTCAGATTCTAGTGACTGTACGAGACAACCTCGGTTTAGAGTGGGTGGGTCGAGTTTCTACCGATATCAAGTTACCATAAAGCTGTGGTAAACTGCGGTAATCTACGTTAAACTGCAGTAATATATTCTTCATAATCAATGCATGCAATAATTAAATCATCCGTCTGCTCTCTCGATAAGATTCTTTTTATCTGAAATATTATGTTTTTTTGCGATCACACTGGAATCGCAAGCAAGCTCTTCTGTGGTTGGGAGGCTTCTACCAAATGGATATATGTTTTAAAGCCAGACCGTGTGTCGACCCTGGCTAGCACAATTACAGTTGATAAATCCTGATGTAAAATCCTAAGTTTGTCACTCTCGTGTAGGTTTGTTTACGTGGGATTTACGCAACGTCGCCTTCAATGTGATGTAAGGATTATAACTTGAACATTCTCACTGGTTTATTAAAATTGAAACAATTTTAGCTGCAATCCGCAGTGTTGACATTAATATAGCGCTTAGATCTTTTTCATTTTTCCGTTGCGCAATCATGCGTGTACGCGAGTAGCGCGATCACTGTGTGAGTGGATGTCCGGACGCGTAGCCACTGCGAATTATTTTTGTGGTTAGTTTATGAGGTTACCACATCAATGTTATGATGACAGGACGCTGCCGATGCACGTTTATAATTTATATTTGCCGATAGATGGCGGAACGATCTCTACTTATGTTGTTTTTGTTTTGGTCAATAAGTACGAGACCCAGAAATCGGAAAGTACGTAATTACCGTATATTAACAAACTATTTCGTTTTAGGTAGTAAACTATGGCAGCAATTGCTGCAAAGGTAGATACTATATAATGTAGCTCTGCTAAATACTTTGTTATTTCCACGTAGTAGTAATGTGATGCCTAAAACTGAGTGACGATCCTTCCGTATTAACTATTAATGATAAGATTCAGCGTAGAATCTCGCAGCTTTATGCTGAATGATGTCCAATTTAGAGCAGTTCTGAAGTCTATAGGGGCACCAGCTGGCGAAGCATATAATCTAATATAATTAACAACATACTAGCCAAATACTAAATACACATATAGCATACAATATACATACATATATAAAATACATATACATTCATCAGGCCCCGTAGGGCGGTTCCGGGGGTTTCGCACAAACCCCCCCCCCCCCGAGCAAAAAAATCAAGTTTTTTGGGTTGATATACGCACTTCTCATGCTGTGGTGAAAATCAGTTGGAAGATAATGTAAGGTAATCTCGTAGGTATTGGATTAATCCATCCTCGCTTTCCATGCACTTCATTCTTACCGCCAGGTGATTTTTGGCTTTTCTAACCTTTGCTAAGTAGTAGAGACGTACTGAGAAGTGGGGCAACATCATGGTTGTCATTCAAAGCAGAAAATGTAAAATTCTACGGCATTACTCGCTCCAAATCAGCCCTTGACTTTTACTTACTTCGCTGTATCATAAAATTATCTATCTCTACACCTTACTTACAATATTTGGGTGTTATTATTAGTAGGCCTCCTACGATCTCGCTGGATGGCCACGTTGACTATATTTGTAAGAAAGCGTCCCGCGATCCCTCGGAATGTTACGGCGTAATGCTTAGCTTGCTAAACTCTAAAATTCGGTCCCTAGCTTTATAACCTAGGTTCTGCCACTATTAGAATATTATAAATTTTATAATATATGTTTTTTTAATATATTTACAGATTAATATCTTCGCACAGCTGTGCCGCACTATAGACTTCAGAACTGCTCTAAATTGGACATCATTCAGCAATAAAAGCTTGCGACGATTTCTACGCTGATCTTTATCCATTAATAATCATGGGGGAGTCTAGAGTTGTGCTTGCCGCGAACAGACGTGTTTTGGGAGCAGCTCCGGTGTCGTCAATACCCGGCCTCAGCCTACTCACGATTCGTCACGTGTAGCTAAGTGATCAAATAAATCTAATTGTCCATAAATTATTGGTTTACTAACAAAACTTAATCTACTAAACCTAATAGCTAAACATCACCTATGTCTAAGTTAAAATGCACTATTTAACATAATTTAGTTAACAGATTACAGCTGGAAATGTCTAAGCATAGGCGAAATTTTCCGCCCTATTTTTCAACTTCGTTGTTTACAGTCGCGGAGGTCCTGAGTCAGCTAGTTTAACAGTACCGTGTACACTTGTATACTTTAATTAAGCATCACAGGTGAAACCATAGGTGAAACAGTGAGATAAACTATTAGGCCATTGAATCATCACGGGTCCGACTAGTATCGTATAACAAACAAACAACCCGTAAAAAAATTCTACTAATAAATCCTATAAATTAAAAAAATTAAAAAATAAAAAAAAATCTTTATTTTTAAGCGGTACGCCAGAGAGCACAGTGTGAAGTGTTGTAACTTCCACTGTACAAACTAAACAGCAGCTATCTATTCTCGTCTTTGAGTCGTTACCCGGGAGCGGCTGCCCGGACGAAGATTAAGCATGATATAAGTATGTCTGTGTACTGTTGTTGTCTGACTGCACTTTGCACGCTTGCATGACCGATGTAATTTATGCACAATTATACTTCTAGGCCACCAATTATTTCAACAGTTATAATGTATTCACGGAACATGAGTCTTCTAAAAGAAAATCACTCCTGAAACAAGTATTTCTATAATAACGAAATTCAAAAATAGAACTGGGTCAGATAACTTCATGAACAAAATTAAGAGAGTGATTCGAACAGGCAATACGGGCGGCTCCCAAGTCCGCAACCAGGCTAGTGGTAAGTGATCACTAATCTGCACACCAGCAAACTAAGAAGAAGAATGAGCAAAGGTAATACAAGGTGATGAACTCATCTGAGGAAAATGGCTTGTCTGTGATGAATGCTGTGTAGAAGTAGACCTACTGGTTGAGTGTGAATGCTGCAGACACTGGCTTGTGTCTGGCAAATGTGGTAAAATAAGTAACAAAGTATGGACAATATGCTTCAACATTAATAGCTGCGCAATCAGCTTCTATTGTAAAGCATGTCAACCAGTTTGTCAAAACAATGTATTGATTAAGAGGTCCAATAGCAGTAGCAAAGATGATCACCCAGAGAGCCGGACATAACAACTTGTCCTGGAGAAGAAATTAATGGGGCCATTGTGGCCAGTGTTTTGAAGAAAGGTAAAATGAACTAAATGTCATTCAAGCAGATAAACTCACACAGGAAGAAATGAATAAAGTCACTAAGACTTATGCGCCAGCATTGTAAAAAATTAAGCGAGACAAAATCGGCAGTGGCAGCAACCCCCGCGCCAACAAATCGATAGACAACAATCCCAATCAACATTCATGCGATGAGTACAATGACAGGGAACGCGAGAAAGAATAACCTAATAGTCACTGGCATTGAGGAAGTAAAAGATTTGGACGGCGCAAACATGAGGAAGGAAGATGACAATAAGGTTATCAAGAAAAAAATCATGAAACACTAAAATGAATGAGTAGTAATTACCAAAGAATAATTCGACTGGGGGCTAGAAAGGACCGCCGGGTGACAACCCAGACTCTTAGCTGGTAGCATCTGATGATAACAAGAAGAAGAGAGTATATACTATGCACATGCCAAGGAACTAAGGAACTAGAAGAATGAACACTGAGTTTACAATATCGCCTAAACCTCACAAGGAAAGAACCGGAGAAGGCAAAAAGCTCAGAGAACAAATTAAGATATGCTAAGAAGAACAGGGCGCATAATGACTACATAATTAGAAGGGGTATGAATTGTCAAGGACGCCTAAGAAAGTGGCCATGTAAGAAAATACTACCAATGGTAGCCTATAGCACAAGCTAAGTAAGTGGGTCCAATGAAGGACGCCACCGCAACCCCCAAATGACTAAGCAGGTTCAGGAAAATAAACATAAAGACCACAATAACAATAAGATGAGGATTTATAACATAGATCAGAACAACTGCAATGCAAAGACGGCGAAGCACACAGTAAAGCAGCATGAATCACAATCTACAACGAATATCTGTTTTCAAATGTGTGTGCTTAAAATGCAAGAAGCATCATAGAACAAAATACCAGACTTACACGCTTTACATTACACAGACACAACAGGCCAGACATAGTTGGAGTAACTGAGGCATGGACACATAATGAGGTACTAGAGCAGCGAAGCTAAGCAACCTATAAATTACAGCCTGTTGGCAGAAGGATAGAAAGGGTAGAAAACGGTGGAGGTGTTCTGTTATATATTCACTCTGAATATAATTGCAGTAACAAAAATGAAAAAAAAGCCCTTCACAAAAAACCAAATTTTTGGGGAAACCGAATCCTTTATTCTGGGTGGTTGAAACAATCCACCAACATTTTTAAAGGCACACTTCTTTTACATCAGGAAAAACTTGGCCCTTACCAACAGCCCCCCTCAAATCAACCCATCCCCAAAATAAGAGGCTCAGACATCACTGACAATGCGCTATTAAAGAAGCAAGAAATCACAAGCACCTAATTAATCGGGAGACTTTAAATTAGGCAACACAATAAATTGGAATACACTGGATAGCAGACTGCACTGATGCAGTAGTTCATTAGCATCTCATTGGGGACTGCTTTCTTATACAACATGTTAACATACGCACCAGAAGGAACAATATATTGAGACTTGTCGCTCTCAAACTGAAGAAAGGAATGGTAGACAATTTATCAGTAGACGAACAGCTTAGTAAAGCAGTGACCATTCAATTGTAAAATGGACCTGATATCATTCTATTGAAATAGAGGTACAAGATAAACTAATTTTTGACTATGCAAGCAGACTATGCAGGAAATGGAGATCCTGCTTTTCAAAAAACACGGAGCGGAAAGTGCTTTGAATGAGGGAAAATCTACAAACGAAAATTGGACAACATTCAAGAACCATCTTCCATGATGCTGTAAGACAAATTTGTAACGCAAAGAAAAGAAGTATGAGCAAACAATAAACCAAAATGGATAACTAAAAGAAGCGTTTAATGGGGCCAAGGACTAAGAACACAAAACTTTGGAAAAAAAAAAATACCAGCACGTCACAAAACACGCAATGAAACATACACTGCATACAAATTAGCACTTAATGCAGCTACCAAAGAGATAAGACATGCAAAGAAGAAAACTTGAAAATAAACTTGCTGGAATATCAAACTATGACACTAAATCATTCCTAATGCCTACACTAGATCTTAACTGAAGACAAAAGAGGAAAAAAAGAAAAGTTGTCCTCTCACAAATTCTGATGGCAACACTATAACAGACAACACAGGAAGCAGCTAAACTACTTGAAGCAGTTTTTTTTCACTTAGTATTCACAGACGAAGACATCACAATTTACCCAAAACGCAGTTCAACTGTTCACAAAAGACAACGCATTGCAACTCAGCAAATACTCCATCTGCAAGAGGCAATACACAAAAGTCTGCCAATGTTAAACCGAATAAAGCTCCTGGCATAGACAACATAGTGCCAAATGCTCATTAGAGAAGTAGCAAAAGAAGTGGCAACTGCCAATCCAAAATATTTGAAAGCTCCAATGAAATGATGGGTGGTACCAGAGCGACTGGAGAATATGGCGAATGTGACTCAATGCTTTAAGAAAGGAAGCGGCGCTTAGCCAGCAATTTATAGACGCAGTTAGTCTAACTGCTAATAATATGATAAAGGTAGAACAAAGTCATGGAAATTTTGAAAAACATCAGGGCAGCCAAATAGTAGAACGCATGCTGAAGCCATCACAAGCAATTAAAGACTCTCAGGCATGGTTGCACGAGGGAGTCATGCCAAACGAATCTACTGGAGTTGCCTCGAACTAGTGACGAAGTATGTAGACCATGAGACCCTGTGATGCAATATACCATGGACTTTTCTAAAGCCTTGATAACGGTACGCCACAAACGATTGTCACAAATGCAAGCAAGCATGGTATCAGCGGGACAGGTCAGTAGATGGATTAGAGTCATGGCTCACAAAATAGGAAGCAGCGAGTGGTCCTAAATGGAAATTTTCAGTTGGTCACGGGTAACTAGTGGTGTCGCTCAAGGTTTCAGTACTGGGGGCCCAGTACTGTTTCTGCATCTACATAACAGACATAGACGAAAATGTCACAAGCCATATATTAATGTTTGGCAGATGATACCAAAAATATTCAGAACAGTATCCACAAACAGCAAGACACTGAAGCAGCTGCAACATGACCTGGGCAAAGCGGTGCTAGGATGGTGCAATGAACTGGCAAATGTTGTTCAATGGCTGACAAATGCAAAAGTATCCATTATGGTATACAAAACCAACAAAAGCCATGAACAACATGAATGAGCACATCCTTGGAGTCAATTACAACAATAGAAGGACCTTGGAGTAACCATAACTGAATCCCTAAGAACAAGCAACAATGTTGCCATAGCTGCCACTACAGGATAAAAAGATATGAGTCATCAATAGAACCAGGAGTATATCTAAATAGAAATTCTATTATATACTCGCTGATAGAACTATAACATATAAAGACAAAAAATCATACTTCAGCTTTTAGCAATCACTGGTTAGACCTCCACCTTGAATATGCTGTCCAATCTGGAATCCCTCATTTGGCAGAAAGATATAGTGTTACTGGAAAAGGTGGCAAAGAAGGATGTCGCGTATGATTCGAGAATATTCGTCATTATTGCTACGAACAAAGACTCTAGAGAAACTAGGACTTATGACACTGGAAGCAGAGAAGACTAAGAGGAGACCTATTGAAGAAAAAGACACTAAAACTTTTTTCAAACTAATGAAATGGCTTAACGAATTAATCTGACGCCAACAAAATCTTTACAAGAATCCGAAATTACCAACGCGGTAACTCGTGGCCATAGCCTCCAATTGTTCACCTCCGCGTGCACCGACTAGAGTATTAAAGGAAGCATTTTTTCAGTTTTTAGAGTGATAAATCACTGAAACACTGTCAGAAGAAGCAGATAGAAAAAAAAAAAAAAAAAAAAAAAAAAAAAAAAAAAAAAAAAAAAAAAAAAAAAAAAAAAAAAAAAAAAAAAAACCAGGAAGAAAACAAAAAGAAAAAAAAAAAGCTAAAATCTATTAACTCTTTCAAACGCGCATGTGGATGAATATGTAAGGATGGGGTTTAATACAAAGACAGTAAAGTCTTGCCGCTAACCTCGATCACTCCAAACCTAGCAGTTAGGGTGGAATCAAGGTAAAAATCATTTAATAGTTATATACGGATAGGATGAGTCACTACAGTTTTAGGGCATCACATTACTACTACGTGAAATAACAAGAGTATTTAGGCAAGGGGGGGGGGGGGGGGGGGGCGGGCGGGTAGCTACATTATATAGTATCTACCTTGCAGCATTGATGCCATAGTTTACTAAGCCTAAAACGAAATAGTTTGTTAATATACGGTAATTACGTCTCGATTCTGGTCTGCGTATTATTGACGACAAAAAAAAACAACATAAGTAAGAGCTATCGCGTTCCGTGCCAGTCTCATCGCGCAAATATAAATTATAAACGTGCATCGGGCAGCGTCCTGTCATCAATAACATATTGATGTGGTAACCTGCATAACTGAAACCACAAAAATAATTCGCAGTGGCTACGCGTCCGGCAGCATGTCCACTCACAAGTGATGCGGCGCTCTCGCGTACACGGCATGATTGCGCAACGAAAAATGAAAAAGATTCTAAGCGCTATATTAATGCAACACTGCGGATTGCAGGCTAAAATTGTTTCAATTTTAATAAACCATGAAATGTTCAAGTTATAATCCTTACATCCACTTGAAGCGTACGTTGCGTAAATCCCACGTAAACAAACCTACACGATGAGTGACAAACTTAAGGATTTTACATCAGATTTATCAACTGTAATTGTGCTAGCGCTCCAGGGTCGACACAGCGGTCGGCCTTTAAAACATATATCCATTTGTAGAAGCCTCGCAACCACAAGAAGACCTTGTCTTGCGATATCCAGTTGTGACGCAAAAAAATAATCTTTCAGAAAAAGAATCTTATCGAGAGAGCAGACGATGATTTAATATTGCATGGCTTGATTCATGGAAGAATATAATTACTGCAGTTTAACGTAGATTACGCGAGTTTACCCAGCTTTATGGTAATTGATATCGGTAGAAACTCGACCCGCACCCATCAAACGCGAGGTTGTGCTCGATCAGTCACTAAGAATCTGACTATATCTTTTAAAGAAAAACTCTATCTTCGGCAGTGAGCTTAGCTAAGATTTTATTTTGAAAGAACGCCGCATCGGCGCAGCGACAGGCACGCGACACATACATCACAGTACACGCGCATGCACAACATGAACACAACGCACGTAAGTATAGTATAACGAATCTGGTGGCCGTCCAAAGTGCCGCGAGTCCAGTCTTCTTTGCGTGCATATAAATGCGTGAAAATAAATTAAATAAACGCGGAGGTATGGACAACTAACATGACTAGCGCGCGCGCAGTTTGGTGTTTCTGTGCGCGCGTATCCGGCACTGGTGACAGTCGTGCTCGATAGTGATGTGGACAGTCATCGAATCAAGTGACGCTCTAGGTTCACGC